CACGGTTATATTGTTTGCACTCTATTTACAATTAAATATACATATTACTAACTATTTATTTTATAGGAAGCAAATATTAAGAATAAAAATAACCACCTTTTGACAATATTTTTCTGAAGCGCTGTGTTGCTGCTAACTCCTTTTCACTATCCCCTGAAAATATTGCCGCTACCATATCTTGGAAGAATGGTCCCTGAAATACAAAACCACAGAACAAAATATAGTTGAACTTCTATTTGGCAGCTATGCACCTTTGGGGAATTATGAAGATGCTGCTAAAGAGGTTGGATGCTTATATTATGTAGAAACAAATTACTGCAAAACCTTTTATTAGAGCTTTCACAACTGGTCAGTCACTTGAAAGAGATTAGTTGTTGATTTGTGTTTAACCAGTGAACCCTTGTTATGGAGTGGTGAATCAGGGCTTAAAAAATGGTCGATCAGTCCTCAGTCATGATGATCAGCCAAAATAGCTTTAGTTCAGTCATTCCTCATTTGTGGCTCAAGGTTACTGGTCAAAATAACTGGCAAGGCAAAGGCTTGACCAGACATGTACAAGTTCCAATTCTGGGCAGACATTGTCCGATGTGAGACTGTTATTTTAAGCATTGACTTTTCTGTTCAACTTTCTTTTAATAGCCAATGAGAAACAATAATTGTCATTTCATTCAATTTTTAATCCATATAATGAACTTTCACAATAGACCTAATCGGTAAACGTGTTGCTATAAACGTTTCCACCCAATTCAAACCACATGGGAGTAAGTTTTATTGTTCTTTATATTTTGGTTTCACAGTTGAATTTGTAGAGACAAACGCTTCTATTTCCAAAAGGTTTGAATTGGGTGGTAACATACATAGCAACACGTTAGCCGATTAGGTCTTTGTTGTTTGTGATGTCAGGGAAATTGGTACGGTGAAACCGCTACGGCATAGTAGGCCAGCTACAGTCGACCCAAAAGAAAGTGCTGGGAGGAAAACCAGAGAATAGCCCTCTACGAAAACAGGATGACAGGTCTAAATATCAAACCACAACCACAACAGTGTGTGAAAGACAGCAATAAAAGGTGAGGTTTAAAAAACATGCAAAGGCAGGTCCTAAACTCACAAATTTAAGAATTACTAACACAACAAGAAAACTCAACTAATAATTAATTCAAGCTTAATAAACTTATTAAAAAAAAGTACGGAATATTTTTGTACTATATTACTCCAAATTATGACAATTGTGTATTATTTTTTGAAGAGCTATTCTGCTAAATTCCTATTACAACTACATGGAATTGTTGTTGCTGAATTTTCTAAAGAAAGAAAAAGATTTTAGCCAAAATTAATGAACGCATTATCTATGGTTGAGGTACGATTTCCAAAATGTTTATAAAAATTAAGTATGCCACCAGAAACAATGATAGATTGTGCATAAGATATTAAAAATATAGTCATAGAAATAGGTCATAAAAACGACAAAAAAACTAAGTAAGAAATATGTTTTTTTTAGTTTAAATGCTTTGGAATCGCCTTATTTTGTGTGTATAAACTTTGGAAGTTTCTTCAGAGTTGGTCGGTTTCAAAGACTTGGGAATAAATTTCAGTAAAAATACGTAATGTACAAAACGAAGACAATACAACTTAATACAAGACCTAATAATTGAATGAGATTTGATTCATAAGGTAGTTTAGTCAATAAAAAAACGCTCGATTCCTGATATCTTTCATAAGGCATTAAAAGAAAGTACAACTTCCTTAATTCTGAGAATTTTTTTAGTCAACCAGCTCAATACCTGCCAATCGGTCGTTAATAAGCTCTCCAGCTCTGTGGTCTGCAGACCTTCTTTTACATCAACGTTTCTTCTCTTGAACATCTGAGGATAAAAAATGCAGAAGTGGTGAGATAGAGTTAAGAGAGTTAACATGTTCGATCGATATTGAAATGACATTCAGAAGAACACACGTTCTTTTGCTGACCTGTTCTTCGCGTTTAGCTTTCCGAAGCTGTACTCCTTCCTCTTCTCGTCTTCGTCGCATTTCCGACGTGTCTAAAGCCTTGTTTTTGTAGGCTTTAATCCGAGGATTGCCTTTGGATGCCATTGTGAGGAAACAGAAGGCTTTGTGCCTTTAAGATTGTGAGCAAAGAGGCCCAGATCAGAAGGCCTTTTTTGCAGCCAGTAGAACGATTGATCGATGTGGATCTCAGCAAAAACCATGCACTGCAGGCTCACCACACTATTTATACCTGATCAGCGGGTAACCCCTATTATGGCATGCACTTTGCAACCCGGGTGAAGTACGTGACGGCTTGCACAGGAATGAATTTTGGGATGTTTGGACTTTTCTTTTTCTTTCTTTTCATTTAAATTATTAAAGCGCTTTGCAAGCGCTAGATATATCATGAAAGTTTCTTTGTATGATCAAAAAATATCAGTTTAGCTTTGGTTAAAATACTGTAAAGAGCACGAACTTTATTCTTTATTCTGAAAGATTTTCTCAAAAGATCAAAAATATTTATTGCTATACCTTATCTTACAATATATAGGTTTTATTAGTTATCACACTTTTAAAAATCGTACGACTTGCCCGCTCCCTAACAAAATAGGGTTTTTTAGGTTCATTGGAAACAGAAAGTTTTCAATGTCAAGTTCATATGGAATGTCAAGGAAACGCCTTGATTGACGTCAGCCAAAACCTACTTCGTCGCGACGTTACGATTTTGCGTGTGTAATTAGAAAGCATCCTAAGTCTGCGCGCTGCAGATAAGCTCTCTAACGCGACTATAAAACACACAAAATAATTATAATGGCTAGTCCAAAGTTAAAGAGAATAGGTCAGTGACAGTGACACACTCAGTCGTAAAGCGCACGGGAGTTTTCACGTAAACGACGCGGGGAATTAACATATTTGCGAATTTTGCAATTTTCTTTAACAGTACTAATAAAAAAAAGTTCGCAATTTTCTTGATACCGTATTAAATTCATTTAAAATTATATTATATACTAGTAAAAAAAAGTTCGCAATTTTATCAACTTTCATAGTTTGCGAATTCTGATACCGTATCATATTATATACTAGTAAAAAAAAGTTCGCAATTTTATCAACTTTCATAATTTGCGAATTCTGATACCGTATCATATTATATACTAGTAAAAAAAAGTTCGCAATTTTATCAACTTTCATAATTTGCGAATTCTGACACCGTCTCTTATTATATACTAGTAAAAAAAAGTTGATGAGGTAAGGTCGAGCATATTACTAGCTTGTATTGAAAGGGCTTACCCCATCGAAACTAATACGTGACTTAAACCTATTAAAGACACAGGCAACCCATGCTAAGCATTTGTTGTGTTCAGTCAAATAATACCTTCTCTCTTACTGATTTGAATTTTGTGAAATTTGAGGCTCGGCAAAAAAGATTTTGAAAGTTGATTTACAGCCAGTGCACTTTCGTACTCTTTGACTAAATGGCAGGACAAATATTACTTCTCATGGGCTACCTGTGGTCGAGTTCAGCATTTATGTTTGAGGATTCATGATCCCAAGAGGCCTGGGACTTAGAAGATAAAAAGATCGGTTCTATTCTGCCGTGGACGGGTTTCTCTGGTGTAAAGACCTTTAGTTTTGTACTGGGATCATAAGTTTGGCCGTCAGTACCAACTGCTCCATTCTTGAACGAACCATTATTGTTATTCTTTTTATTCTAAAAAAACACGCACAAGAAAAATATTCAAAAAAATTTTTGTATAAAAATATTTTTATCAAAAAAGTACGGTTTAAGGAACTCGCTCCAGGAACGTTTGTCTAGTTGGTGCTGATTTAAGGTAACGAAGGCTCAAAAATCTACTGCGCATGTTCTAAGGGCCTGCGCAGTACCGTCTTTGGAGCGCAAAAATATCAGGTTCTAAGATATGAGTATGTCCTATTGTTGCGCATGATCGTCAAGAAAGTACGGTTTAAGGAACTCGCTCCAGGAACGTTTGTCTAGTTGGTGCTGATTTAAAGTAACGAAGGCTGAAGAATCTACTGCGCATGTTCTAAGGGCCTACACAGTACCGTCTTTGGAGCGCAAATATTAGGTTCTAAGATATGAGTAAGTTCTATTGTTGCGCATGGTCGGCGAGCCTGCGCAGTATTGTACTGAGTATCTAATTATTAAACAAAACTTGAGCTTGTCACGTGTTTAGTTTCTGCGCAAGTTCTGTGAACTTACGCAGTATCGTTTTAGATGGATGACATGGTGACCACAAACAACCATTCATTTGCACATAGTGCAGTTTTCGTATGACTGTGAAAAGCTCAGTGCCGTGCCGTGACCGTGATGTTTTCTAGAATTTGAATTGGCTGATCGCGCAATGTGATTGGTCTGAAAGTGCCGTGACTTTGGCGTGACCGTGATGTTTTCTAGAATTTTAATTGGCTGATCGCGCAATGTGATTGGTCTGAAAGTGCCGCGACTTTGGCGTGACCGTGATTGCGCCGTGTTTATGCCGTGTTCCGGGTATTTGATTGGATGGAGAGTGAATTCTCGAGCAATGTGATTGGTCTGGCGTATCCCTAGCCGTGTCAAGAACGTGTTCGTGCCGTGAGCTTTTCACAGTCATGCGAAAACTGCTCTATATATGAGTGTGCATGTTATATGAATATCCACATACCTTTATTGGAGCCCACCGACAGAGAAGGGACAAATAGACAGGTAGGAAACAGAGACCGTGAAGCAAACCAAGCACTACGATGCCAAAAAACATCTTGAAGAATATGATGAAAATCTGTGAGGATGCAAACGCCGTCACGATCATTCCTATAAAGGTACTTGTGCCTGGAATAATAAGATTGAAAAAATCATTTTAAAATCTTCCTTAAGTCAAATTCGTCCAGAATCTTGGGATTCTTGGCGAATCCAAAATGAGACTTCATGCTCCACGGAATTAACTCATTCAACGACTATTTTTTAAATGTAGAAAGAAATAAATGCAAATGAAACGCAAAAGATGTGAAAAAAAATGAAATGTAAGGAAAGACGTACCTCCCATTAATACACTAGCACCCATGGTACTTAGCGCCTGAATGGCTCGATCTTCAGGTCGACGCTCACTGGACAATACATACGCATGCGCAATGTGCGCACTGTAATCCACAGAGAAACCAATAGCCATGACGAGGTTAATAGTCGAAATCATGTTTAGAGAAACATCCCACAAGTACATGAGAGCAAAGAGTTCGAAAATCAAGGCGCCAAACCCGAAAAAGATGATCAAGGAAGCGGTGAGGCTGAGTAGGAATGGTAAAGTGATGACGAAGACTGTCACGCCGGCGACAGCAATGTTACGAGTTGTCTCTGATTTGGTGATGGCGTACTGCTCGAGATAAATGTAAACCTATTGAAAAACCACAAAACTGATAAGTCGATTAAACAATATTGCGTGACATCATATGATCACGTTAGCTTGCGTTACCGATTTACGTCAGAAGGTTGCATAACGCGCATAAATTTCATTGCATGATGGCATGCATCACCTAGCATTGGGTTGCCAACCTGGTGTTGCTAGCATTACATGAGAGGACGTATTGCGTGACATTAACGTCAGTGGAATGCACTAAACTGCATGATATGAACCACAGGTTCTGTTCTGTTCGTTACTTTTTACTTCAGCGCACTCACGTGTTGCATCGCAATCGCATTGCGCTTGATTCCATAACTCCTTAAAAGTCATTGAGGCTTACCTTAGCAATCGGATAAACAGGCAAATCTGAGTCTGCAGTTAGGTCACCTCTAATGGTCAGCATAGCATCTTTCTGGACAATCGAACTAGTGCTTGGCTTCATGTAACACAGAACACGAGACGCTAAAATAGTCGTGTTATCATCTGAAAAAATAACGTCTTGTCTGAAATGCGCATAAGCAGGAACCCCAAGAAAGACCTTCAAGGTGGGCAGAAAACTAGAACCAGTAACATTAAATCCACTTGACTTTGCGAACGATCTCAAAGACTCCATCCAAGAAAGCGTTCTGTTCATATAATACGTATTCTCCGTTGCAATTTTAGAGAGTTTGAGAATTCCTGATTGTACATCGCTGTCTTCGTAGTTGATTCTTGTACTAATGACCAAACTAACTGGAATCGCTCCTTCAAAGTATCGATCTTGGGTGTCCAGGAAGTCGATGATTTGCGCGCCCTTTTTCGCCAGGAGACGCCTGTCGAAATTCTCGCTGATTTTTAAACCGTAATAAACACTAACTCCAAGAAGACCCAGCGAAAGTACCACCACAACTGCGCGTACAGCTGGCAACATTAATATTTCGGCCCACTTTTTCATAATTTTGCTGGAAATTACCTGCGAAGGTCGCGTCCAAGCTGGACTACCTTCCTTTACTGGAGGAGCGCGACAAATAGGAAGAAAGTCTCTTCGTCCTGCTTTAATCCTCCTGACATCAAAGCTCAAGAAAGCCACGAAGAATGTTATAATCATAAGGTAGGAAAATGTAATAGTCAAGGCGGCGTATGTACAGAAGTATCGGATCGAGGGAAACTGGGTCGAGGTACTGACCGCAAAGGCAACGAGGTCGGTCAGCGTTGTCATGGTGATGGTCGCACCAGAGTGGGACATGACAACCTTAACGGTTGTCAAGACGTTCAAGTTGGTGTAGTCTAAACGATCTAGCTCATCAATGATTATGAAGACATCATCAATACCAATACCCAGAATGAGAAACGGTAGAACACCAACAATACTTATAAACGGGGTCTGCACAAACATTGCGAGCCCGAGTCCCGCGAGGATCCCGAGCCCAACTGCAAGAATCCCGAGGTTGCCTAGCAACGCGTGCCCTGTCAAGGGATTACGGAACTTCAACAAGATGGTACAAGCGAATGTGATCATCAGAGTGAAGGTGATGCTGATGAGAGTAATGTCAGAGCCAGTGCTCTCAGATGTCGCATCGCTTAAGCTTCGCTCCGCGGAGTAATACATCTCAGTGTACGTTAAACCTGTTTTAAGTTCCATAACTTTCTTGATAAACGTTTCTTCCCACTCTACAATTGCTTCATAATCTTCCTCCTCGTCACTTATGTAGTATTGTACTTGCACTGCATCTGCGCTTTGAAGCGTTTGGTTCTTCAGAACTGGATTTGCAAACATAAGTCCAAAATTCATATACACGGGTCTACCGTTTGCCATAAGTTGTCCTCGCGAGTAATAAGCCGCTCCAATCTTACTAGAAACATTATACAAGCTGTTTTCTTCGAAATTAAATATCTCAAGGGGGTTAATATAAACACACTTCGCTTGACCCTCAGTTATTGTATTCTTGATGCAAAATTTCTCGAAACTTTTTAGGGAGATGACTGCGTTGTGTAAATTAAGGATCTCGAGAAGACAATCCCTTGAAATAATGTTCTTTGCGGCAGAACGAGGGACAAAAATTACTGTTTCAGTTCTCGCGTTCATCTGTTTGAAAAACTGACTGGCTTTAACGAGATCTTTAACAGAGGTGCTTCCGGGAGGAACGTAAAGTTTCTCGACCCGATTCTCGCTTTGGAGGTACATAAATCCAACGCTGCATACCCCCACGACGACGAGACATATTAATATCGTTGGCCATGGATGTTTAGCTACTGTCTTGCCCAGCCAGCCAAAAGCTTTTTCAAACAAATGGTGAACTATCGCTGGAAATGCGTTGTATTTGTGACAGCAACCTCTACAGGTGGACGGCTTTGTCGACTCCCTGGAAATAGAAAAACGATACTTTTTGTTGCTTTATATTTAGGAACCAGAGTAGGAAATTTCTTCGTCTCAATGGGATAATATAGATTGCATGCATGAACCATTGGGCTTACTTTGTTCTATCGCACATAAATCTATTAACACCTTTTCCAAAAAAAGTTGTCGGTACGAAATCTAAAATCTGCGATCTGAGAATATGACTTTTGTGAATAAATAGGTTATGCTTCGTATTCCAATCTAAAAGGAGACCTAGTATATTCGCCTGTGAACATATTTCAACTGAATTTTTTAGCGTGCGTACTCGTTCTCAGATTTCGGAGTCTCTAACCGCGACAACAGTCTTTGAAATAGCTGGTATACATTTTGACAACGCGTATATCTACGACAAACCGTCGAAGAGTTTGCAGTCGAAAAAAAATTAGGATTTTTTCATCGTTTTGTAGAAGGACTCAATGAAGCATAGTTTTTAAGCTTTACCTACCCAGTATTTGTTGATTCTGTCTCCATTGAACTATTTTCCTTGCTTGGGGATTTTAAGGTTTTTGGCAGCTTTTAGCGTTCAAGTTTCTTCCAAGAATTTCCTGTGTTTGTTTTTTTTTTTTTGGTAACAATAAACTAACAAATAAGACGTTAAGCTAAATTTTTTCCCCCTTTGCTTGGCACTGATTTTGACGGTCTTTCGCAGCTTGGCTTTCAACGTTAGTCTTCTTCGTTGTCTTAGCAACAATTTCCTGCATTTAGTTGGTCTGCAAACGATAAAATATTGTGGGTTGACAGAGGCCTATTTCTCAGATATCCTAGCTTAGGACAAGCAAAAATTGCTCATCAATAAATTCGATAAACATGCCTTGGCTTTTAACAGTTAGGATCCATAGGGAATAAGAAAAGTTATGAAAGCAAAACTAACACTAATAGCCTTGTGTGTACTGGATTTAAAAGCCATTAGAGAGATCTTAAGACAAAGGAATCAAACAAAACATAACTGACAATAGCCTAGACTAGGAAATAATGGTGTACAACGACTCCGTTATCGAGCCAGTAAATATCTGTTTTGCACTAATGGTCTATAGTGAATGTATACGAGTCAAAATTATGTGGAAAAACAATGCTAGAGGCAAACCATAAATCCGTGAAATAGCACTAGAGCCTAAATAGCCCGAAACACATCTATTTCTTTTGTTTTCAATTGTTTCATTGGTGCTATTTTTTTAACTAACTGGTGAGTACTATTTCATAGATATATTGTTTGCACTCATACGGATCTCTCTTGTGTAGATAGCAATATATTTTTTATAACTTTTTCTTCCATTYGTGGGATGAGAATCAGGAAAAAACTCAACATTTGCGCTCAGCTTACTCTATACCAGGATTAATTTTACTTTTAAAGACGGAAAATTAGAATTAGAATTGTTCTTCCGTGATCTATCTAGATTTGGACGTGCACGCAATCCTAGTCCAGTAAAAAGGTCTTTTGCGGCTTTGTTTTGTCCAGACATGTACAGTGAACAAAAATAAAAAGACAAAAAAGATTTTCTTTTTCTAATCTTTCTGGATCATTACCGGTAAATTTATTTTGGCAAAAGTATAATAACATTTGTCATAAAAGCAAATTTGGTGAACAGGAAACGGTATTTAGGGTAAAGGATGCGAAGCGCGCTCGAATGCTGGTTGAGAAGTTTGAATTATGAAGACAGCGCCGGGACTAGGGAAAAGAACTTTCACTTCCCTCTGTGAGGTTCGCACCACCACTACATTCTATATTTACAAGAATATACAACACTCAACTTACATCTTGATTTTTACGGAAGGAGGAAACCGAAGAGCCTTGAGAAACACTCTCGTGGCCTCGAGAACAACCGACTTCAAACAAACTCAACTCAAATATGATCCAGTCTGAGTCGGGGCTCGAACCCGGACCACAGCGGTGAGAGGCATGCGGTACGCCATTGCTCACTAGATCTTCCTTTAATTGTTCCACTAGTTCTCTACAATGAGTCGACTGTATTTTATATTTTTGACTTAGATTTACCAATCTCAAATATTTCAAACTGAGTTCTCTCTTTACTTTTTCTTTACTTCTTTACTCGGTTAGAAGATCGATGTTTATTCTGTGATTTAATCGCCGAGCCTATATATGAAGACTAATATTTTTCGAGTTTCCATTCAAACACTCCACTTAAAAATAAATTCAGAACGGTTTGATAGTTATGAACATAGTGGTAAAGCTAGCGCGTACAACGAGAGATTTATCACAAACTAGATACTAGACCCTTCGTTTAGTAAAAAAGGCATACATATTGAATAATGTTTTTATACTTACGACTGTAGCCAGTGACTATGTTTGCTAAGAAGGCTAGAAGCTGCATTACAATTAACGATCATAATTATTTATTAAGAATATGCAAAAGCAAGTTTGTTACATTTTAGTTTGCGAGCACTTCCGGTTGCTAAGGACTGATACATATATCTTGGTCCTATATTGTAATAAAAACCAGTTTTTTCTCATAAAAAATTGATGGATACAATCGAGATAACAGGGAGCCTTTGTAGTAACTAGAGAGTTTTAGATTGACTTTTTTTCTCCCCGCAAACGGCAAACGTGACCACGTTTTCATAGTTTTCGTGTATTTTACTTTACCTTTTACAAACCTTCTCACCAAGCGCAAATATTCTTTTGTTTTTCTGCTACTTGGACTTTTTTGCGATTCCTTCTCAGCTATTTGAAATAATTTTTTACTGATCAACTGACGTTTCACGTTTGCCGTGAACGTAAATCTAAAACTCTCTAATGCCATACGACCTACTTAATTTCTATCGTAAATAATTGCTTATTTTTAGAAAAGAAATTGGAAAAAAAGAAAAAAGAAAAGCAGAAAAAGAGGGAGCTAGAGAGAAGGATAGTATGACTGAAAAAAATCTTCTAACGAGTTCTTTTCAGTAGCTCAATAATAAATTTGAAAATTATAATGAAATAAAACGAAAACTAAAGCCAAAACGAAGGCGAAAAGGAAAGAAAAAAATTAAAGAAAAAACAGAGCGATAGAAGTCTGTTAGAGATATCCATTTTCGGGGAAAAATTATTACATAACATTAACATACATACATCAAAGTATAGTAGTAATAAATTATGCATTCGGTGTGCGTAATGAAATAGAGAAAATAAGAGAAAAATATTTTTCTCTTATTCTCTCTATACATACATCATACATTAGCACTAAGATGCCCTTATAGTATATATTAAAATAAAATTGATACGCATTAATCTATCTTGAAAAGGCGTTGTTAGACCATTAAGCCTCGTGATGCGGAGATCACATTTTCCAGTAGAGGGATACAAGGATCTTCTTCCTCATTCCATTCCAGATTTTACACAAACAACCAATCACTGAAGAGTTCGACGGAGAAAATCATTCACGATCAGGCTGATTCACGATCATATAAAAACTTGGTGCTCGTATTTTTGTAGCAAATATTTGTCTCATCGAAAGATGATACAGACTTGAGAATTATTTGTCGAAAAAGACATTCATGATGTGAACGTTCCTCGGTTTATTCTTGATGGAAACCTTTAGCCATCTCTTGGTTTTGCCGAGATTTTGGTGCCAACATTATTCAGTTACTGAGTCGGGATGATATAAGGAAATATGGAAGTCGAAAATCAAAATCCAAACGATTCCCAAGAATATATGGACTTAGATGAGTTTTTCACAGCGTTGCAGGATTATAACAGTGTGACACCGTTTGGAAAACCACAACGTAGTTCTCGAAAAAGACAAAATGGCGAGATACTTACTAAAGGCAAGAACGATAATAATTCAAGTTACTGTACTGTTATTCGTTCACAACTACGCATAGGAAAACTGGTTCTAGACAGCTTCGATTGCTGTCCTTGCGGAGGAAGAGAGGTCGAAATATCAGAGAACGAGGACTCGCTTCGTACAAGCGTTTATGACTCAGTTGTGGTAAATCATTTGATGTCTTTATTACCAGCCAAACCAAAACATAACGAAAAAGCAAAACCTCAACTAACGAACTTGCCGGTTGACGTAAATAGTACAAATAAACATCAAAGTTAACCCTTTTTCTGGGGAAAAACATTGAGGTTTGTTTTAATTTTAAATGAAATGATAAAGTAGCGACCTCAATTATTTCCATCTACGGAAATCTGGAACACTGGAACAGGAACATCGGAATGACCAGAACATTACCAGAGCCATGCACCGTAACGAATACCGAAACAAGCTCCAGAACGACTAGAGGAACCTTTTACCCTTCCACTATTCCATAGAATTTCACCAACGAGAAAACAGATATCGCACGAATCGCTAAACGACAGACAATAAATTCTATTTGAATACCAGAGCGAAAAGATTGAAAATAGTTTTTATTTATATGAGTTTTATTTACAGGACAAAAAGCAATCTCGCTTCATGTATTTTCATGCGTTTCAGCTTTTTAAATGTCCTCAATTGTAATCTAATTTTCGGAATAAAAATAATTAAATTAAGATTTAACGCAGGTTCTCTGATTTTTCATGCAATACCACGTAATATGCCCTCTTGTATATGTCATCTCTAGCTATGGGATTGTATAGTAAAATCAAGCAAGGTAGAATAGTTTTCTTTTAACTGACAAATAAAGTGTAATTGAAAATGAAAATTAATCGTAAAGGACATTCTATCGTTTTGTAAAAATCTCTTTCGTTAATTCGGCGAGACTGATCGTTATTATTACTATTTGAATTTCGTAGCTCATTAATGCAGTTAAACCAATTATTTCAACCACTATTTATATCATAAAGATGACTTTTTTGTTTGAGATCAACTTTAAAACCCTACATATCACAAATGGTACAAGAAAAGGCGAAAATTACGAGCAACGGATGCTTCCTCTTTAACTCAGTTCGCAACAATCTCCCCCTCCGGCGGTTCTCCCATTTTCCGTGCCTAGAATCGCCAAAGAGGGAGAGCAGAGAAAGACAATTGATCGCTTGGCAGAACACTCGAGAAGGGTTCAGGAAAAGCACGACGCGTCAAGGATTCCCAAAATGTAATGAGATTTAGCATAAACCTACTAGCATACTATCACGAATCCTGCACTCAACTGATCTTTAGCTCTTCAACCTTCGTCCTTCATTTAATCTAAATGGTTTCCTTTCCCTCTCTTATTTTTATTCATTCATCTTTTTTTTTAATCGTTCCGATCCGCACTGTTTCTGATATTAGGCAGATTAAGATTCTCGTTTTTTCTTCCCGCAAACTGCAAACGTGACCACGTTTTCATCGTTTCCCTACAATTCACTTTATTTTTTGCAAGCCTTCCCGACAAAGACACATATTCTGGAGATTATTGCGATTCCTTTTCACTAATTTTAAAGAATTTTTTAATGGTCAACTGACATTTCACGTTTGCCGTAAACGAGAAGCTTAACCTCTCTATTTATTCCGGTGGTTCCGCCGTACCGTTCCCGCGTTCCACTTTTTAGCAAATGTTTAAAATTTTGAGTCTTGTTCGCCAAGCAAAATGAAATCTAAATATGATAATATCAAAAATAAATCTCTAAGAGATGTTTAACTAAAAAGTTAGAATAAAATCCAAGAAATATTTAGGGTATTTCAACCAAAATGTATGTTTTTCTGAATTTTTTTTTGGAGATACAAAGATTTCAGAGTTTCACGTGTAGTGGTTTCGTTGACAACGTGACAAAAACGTGACATTGGCAAACAGTCAACGTGACTTGAAATGACCCGTGTATTTTTATATTGCGTGCGATTTCTCATAGCCGGAAAGTCACAGATTGTGAACAGAGTTAATAACTAAAAAATAGATTAACTCTGTTGTGAATTAGTATAAGATTAAATAAATGAGAATGTAAAAATCACAGGGGAGGGGTATTGGAACACAGGGAGCCCATTTAGAAAACAAATTAAATCTTTTTATTCCAAAAAAATAAATAGAGTTATTTTTTAAAATTTCAGGATAATAAATATGAAGCAAGGTTGCAGCTCTAAGAAGATCTAACCCAACTGGTTGAATACAAAAGAATGAGAACGATATAAGCAAAACAATAGAACGAGTTGACAATGAAAAATATTGCTCGTTTTGGCCAATCTTTACAGCTCTTTCTTAGCAGGTGTGACATTATAGAAACATGTTATTTAAATAAAGCTTACATTTGAAATTCAGATTTTCATAAGGATAAGACTACAGATTTTATAAGGATAAAACATTGCAGTTATCTAATAAGTTAATATGATCCACTGAATAAGATGTATCCATTGCATAGCAAATCCACCCTTAGTACAACTGGGCCCAGATATTTATTTCAGTACTAGTTGCGTAGCTTCTTAATGTTTTGTGTGGCTTTGCCAAGTTGAACCTGCTTTGCTGCAGAACCAAAGTTTAAAGTACTCAAAGTTTCTGCTAAGTTAGACTCTGCAGGGCTTACATTCACAAACAAACATGCCTTTCCATCCCCCCCTAGTGACGCTTGCAGCAACTGTGTAAGCTTAGAATTCCTGTAGGGTACATGCATGGCGTTTGTTCTCAGTGCCGTGAAAACCTGACCAAGAGCTGACAGAGATTTATTTATGGCAGCAGCTTCGAGGAGTCTTTGTCCAGTTGCTTCTGTTTTGGAAATTCTTTCAGAGCCAGCTAGATCAACAAGGGTGAGCRTTCCATGTGATATGGAGTTTGAAATTTGGTCAACGCCCTTGATGTTGAGGATCAAGACCAGGTGAGACCTTGAGCTGTTGGTGTTCATTTTTGTTTCTCCAACAGAACGATTAGCATTACCTACATAAAAAGAAAATACATTGAAGATTAAACTCATACAAATGAAGCTAGAGCGGATGCAATTAAACTGTGAAATAAAAACAAACTAAATACTAACTAATAGTATCTATTTAGTGACTAATAGTTGCTATCACTCAACCAGAACATTCATCATACAAAGACAAATACACAAGAGACCATTTGTGTCTTTTGTTTAATAAATGTTCTGGTTGAGTAACAGGAACTATTAGTCACATAGATACTATTAGTATGTATTTAGTTTGTTTTTATTTCACAGTTTAATTGCATCCGCTCTATCTGCCTCCAGCTAATACCCTCTATATGATAATTTGCTTATGTGGAGCTTTGAGGTAGGGTATTTTCTGGAATTACACAATATACGCTCCTCAGACCCTCCCCACCCCTTGGAAATTCCAATCCCCCTCTGTGGGGGAGGTATGGATGTTTTCTGAAACTACACAATATATGCTCCTCAGACCCTTCCCACCCCTTGGAAATTCCAATCCCCCTCTGTGGGGGAGGTATGTATATTTTCTGGAACTACACAATATACCCTCCTCAGACCCTCCCCACCCCTTGGAAATTCTATACCCCTTTTGTGGGGAGGTATGGATATAATCTAAGATTACACAATTTAGGTATTATACCTTTTGCCATTATTTTGCTGATAGATCCTTCAGTATTGACCTGTATTTCTGTCAAATCATTCACTACCACAGACTTGCCCTTCATTAGGATGTTCAGCTGGGGTGGTCTGTTGCCGTCAGCAAGAAGGTCCCGTAAGGTTTCATTGTACACTTCCAACATGGATACAGTTAAAGTGTATTCAATGTTCTGTCGTTCTTTGCAGATGTGAAAGAGCTGCTGGATGGATCGCATGTTGACACCAGGATTAGAGACTGTACCCATCATGGTGTATGTCTTTCCTGAACCTGTTGTGGTAATTCTCAGTAAGTTTTTACACAGTTTACATGGTACAGGACAAATTTTTAACCATTTAAAAATCCCGGGGGGGTATTCTGCCAGAATTTGGGTAGGGGTGTTCCGCTGGGATTCTGAAAGGGGTACCCTGTTTATGACAAAAAAACTCAAATTTGTAGACCCTGTTTATGACAAAAGATATAATTTATTGCACTGAGTTCCTGTTTCAATTATCATGTCATCTCGCGTATCGTTTTTTTATGACCATAATAACCAGTTTCGGTCAATACAAAAGTAGAAACCCTGAATATGACAGGAAGCTCAGGAAGAACTTGGAACTTTAGTGAAATGGCAAACCCTGTTTATGACAAGAAGCTCGAAAAATCATGCTATATTCAGTGTATCATCCCCGCCCGTATAGTCCATGTATGGGAGTACCCCCCCCCCTGGGTTAAAAATTAAAAACATACAACGTTTTGGATGGTTAAAATTTTGTCCTGTACTGTGTAAACATTAAAAGCCTTAGGAGGATTTAGCTATGTTGAAAAAATAACATCTTCTTTATAATCATTGCATAGAGCAGAATTTTCATATTGAAGCAACTCTTGAAGCACAGGAGAGAATAAACCATATCAGAAGCAACATGTTTGAACATATATGAGATGGCAGGTTTGAGGATTGAACCCAACGACCACAGTGGTGAGAGGCAGTATATATTAGAAGTTAGTTAAAATATCTTACACTGATAAGAAGTTGTCATTAAAAACCTAGCTAACTTACCTGTTTGACCATATGCCATTATACAAACATTATATCCATCCACACATGACGTAATGAGGGGCAGTGTGTCATCAAAGACCTCTTGCTGACTGCTACTAGTGTCAAAGACACGATCAAACAGAAACGTCTTCTCCCCAATTTGTGACATTGCCTGGATTTCTTGGTTTGATGGGAATTTAACAGCTATATCTCCAGCTTCAGGATCAAATCTACAGCGACAAAAGACTCTTATATTTCCTTGCAATTCTTGTAGTTTGTTATAAAGGAGTTTGCGATGGAGAGCTTCTTTGTTGTAAAGCCTTCTTAACTCTACCACTTCGTTCTCACTATTTTGATTTAGTGAATTCAATTTTTCAACCCCGTTTAATGCCCTTTTGAGCAACGTTTGAAAGTTATTTGATTCATAAAAAAAGTAACTCTTTAGTTGTTGTGTGCAGCTTGCTAAAGATTTTATGCTTTTCGTTACAAGAAATACTGTTTTTGTTGAGATTTTTGTTTTCTTTGGAGGAGAATGAACAATTTTTGGTGAAGGAGTTCTTACGTTTAGCCTATTCTTTAGGTCTTGTTGTGCTCGATCAAGCTCTCTCTGACTTGCTTTCATCTGGTTCTTTAATGAATTTATCAATGTCTCTGAATAGCTCAACTTTTCTTCCAACTCCTTTTCTCTTTGTTGACTCTCCACAATTTCATTATCTTTAGATCTTATAATGTTTTCAAGGTCAGAGATCCTACTTCTTAGGGACTGTATCTCGTTCTTGTTTTTCAATGATGCTTTGAGAAATGTACTGTTGTGACCTTCCCTCCATGTCGAGTCATTTTCAAGTAGTGTAAGATATGTTGTAATTGTCTCATCCACATTGTAATTGCACTGCCGAAGCATTCCTAGTATTTCACGCTGGTCTCTCCAGTCTTGTAGAGTGTCTTGGATATGTGAGATGGTAGCAGCAATAGATGGAGAGTGAAGTTCCCATGAGAGTGGTAGTTTCAACCATGCTCCAGATGATGCGTCGAAAATGCAGTTAACATGCTTTTGTTCATCCATCATGTAAGTTATTAATTCACCTTAAAAATGAAAGACAGCATAAGGTCAGCATTAAATGAATTTCTCAGTTTTGACCTTGCATTATCCCCTCCATGTTCATACTAGTAACTTTCAATGACGTAAGGCGCACTGCTATCGATAGAAGCCTGGGCTTAAAATGGTTTTCTTAAAATAACGGCCAGTAAGTTGGCGGTCATGATGACTGTTCATGGCCAAATTAGTTTAACTCCATCATACTTCGTTCATACTAGTAACTTTCAATGACCTAAGGGGCACTGCTATCGATAGAAGCCTGGGCTTAAAATGGTTTTCTTAAAATAACGGCCGGTAAGTTGGCAGTCATGATGACTGTTCATGGCCAAATTAGTTTTAACTCCGTCATACTTCGTTTCTGGCTTAATAATGTTACTGGCCGAAATGATCCCGGCAATGCAAAGATTTGACAGGACGAGTTCCGATTCTGGGCAGACATCATTTAAACCCTGGAAGCCCTCATGTACCTTTGAGAGGATGATTTATAACACCCATACGTTCATCGTCAACCATGCCAACACCAGGCACTGCATTGTCAATCATTACATCACTAGTAGAAATGCAGCCTTCAGGACCATTATTATTTACTCTACTCTGTCTCTCAAGATAGCCGTGGTTAAGCCATTCATCTGGAAATGGCTGCCATTCACCTAAGTTTGTAAAAAAGGTAATTTCAAAATAAGGTAATAGCATGGGTGGTGTACACTGTGCACAATATTACCCTCCTTAGACCCTATCCCTACCCCTCTTCTGATCCCTCTGTTCAAGCAACTCAGTCCCTGACTCAGGTGTCTGGTTTCACAAACATAAAAGGTGCCTCTTAGGATGTTTGTAAAGTCAAAGGTGGATCCAGGGGGAGGGGGGGGGGTGGGGCAAAGAGGGACTGAAGCCCCCCTTCAGTAGAAAAAAAACAAAACAAAACTGAAGAATTAGATGCTTTTTTTATTGTTTTCTGCTGTGTTGATGGAAGAAACTCAATTAGCCCCCCCCCCCCAAGCTCAAATAGCCCCCCCCCTAAAATTTTGGCTGGATCAGCCCTTGAAAGTGGAGAGGAATGAAAGGAGGGAGAAAGAAAATATACCATTACCTGTAGTCCAAGAATCTAGGTAAAATCTTACACCATCGTTGTTGATAACAGTGTATTCCACTCCATTATCATGTGAACGATAAACTTCAAAAATTATCTCATCGTTTGTATCTGCTGGTCTTTCATCGACACTGCTCAAATTCTTGCCTTTCTTATTCTTTTTGTGTTTGCTTTTTGAGTTCCTTTGACTTGTCGTCTCTTCCATGTCACACAAATTGTTATATCCAAAACTGGTATGAGGCGCAACTGCACTCTCAATTGAGTCGTCTATCTCTACAACATCTTTCAAAGAACTCAAGTTTCCTTGTTGTTGAAAATTTCTGTAACCATTAGAATCAAGATGGTTTGACGGAATACTTCCATTACCACTAGAGACAGAGTTATTTTCAACGGGTGTTGAACCATAACTTGAAGGAGCTGCACAAAAGTTTGTCTGGTTCAAAGACGACGGCTGGACTGTTACAGTATTTGTTGGTCTCGCAGAAGAAGATCCGTTCCCCATGTTGACTGCTCTTTTTCTGGCTGAATTTTGTCTTCTTGTCAATATTACGACATGAATCCAGAATCATGACCAAGTAAATATTTGCATTAAAAATTAGCTAAACCATCACCGATGTCTATTGAAATTATACAAAACTTCAATTACACCCTCACAAATCATCTCTCTCAATATTAGTCTAAATCTCCTTCGAAAAATAGCTTCTTAATTTTTTCAAAAATTTGAATACTTTTTCACTCTCACCTTGTTTGCATTTCCAAGGAGATAACACTGCTGATCGACAACTCAATTCTCCCAAAATTCTTGCTGATCAATAGCTTGATTCTCTTAACTACAGCAAAAGTCACGTTGTTTTATAAAGAAACAGCTGACTTCGTATTCGCGGGCGTCAAGGGTAGATTCAAAATGGTGGACATTTTCAGCGCAGTTTTCACCTTTTTATGGCTAGTTTATCTCTGGGAAACTTACCTTTCCTACCGTCAGGTTGGTACATTTATAAAAAATATCATCTCTTCCAGCTTATTGCCGAATTTTGGCATTATTTATTTAATATTTGGTCATTTTTTAACCACTTTTCCTAAGCCCACTTGTTTATAACTTGTGAATGAGATTATATAAATATATATCATGCATTATGGTTTTGCTTTTATGAATCGCTACACTCGCTTATTGTCCTCAGCACAAGCTTTTCAAGAGTACGCGTGACGTCCCAGTAGAACTGAGAGATGTACTGGACAAAGAAACCTTTGAGAAAGCCAGACTTTACCAACTGGACCGCAGTTCATTTGGCTTCTATCATAGCATTTATTCACAACTTGAAATGAGTGTAAGAGCTACCATGAGATATACATTGTTTTCAAATCCTGTATACCTAGCGATTTCAATGAATGATATATTGAGGTTTTCCCTGAACTACACCCAATATCTGTTAGAATTGACCTCTTCACCTTTGATGTAATGTTTTCCCATTTCAGACCATGTGTCATTCTCTTGAGAATAAGTTTCTATTTGAGTTGCATTCACATTGCTAAACAAAGAAAAGATACTCTAGGGAATGACACATGGTCTGAAATGGTTAAACATTATACCCAAGGTCTACTGTTGATATCTTTGGTGCTGTTTGCTACACCCATTGTTTAGCGTCCAGTATTTATTTGGAGAGGTCTGATGTCAATCACAGCATGTTTGGTTAAAATTTGTCTAACACCATCCTCTCCCCCATATGGAAGTAACATGTTTTCCTAACACCATTCCACCACACCTAATTGAGCATCAGCCATTAAAACCTTTGTCACCCTCCAATCCCTCCTTAGTTAAAGCCTGTACTTATTCTGGCTACGTTACTGAAACATTTTTATTGACATTCACTTAATCAAGGGTGCAAAATAATGGCTCATCAATGGACAAAACTGTCTGGCCAATCATCTCTTAGGCCAGTCCTCTGGACCAGTGACATTGACCAGTCATTATTTTCAGCCCTAGTACTTTTACCAATAATGATCTATCACTTGTCATTGATGTTAAAGACCATCATTATTCTTCTCAGCTGATTTTGCTTCTTGGAGGAATCCCACTCCTATGGAAAACAGGAGAAAGGGTTTTGTCAAAGTTTGGCTACTCGAGTGACTATGAAGTAAGCATAATTTTGTAAAGTACAGAGCAGACATTTTTCAGTGTCTCTGTTTGTTTATATGTCTGTTTATATGTCTGTTTATAGTCCTGAAGATGACTGCTTAGGTTGAAAGCTCATCATCAATTAATGTTCAATTTAGGGCTGAAGTAATATTAACAATATATCCTATGTATACTGTCAGTCTAACATCAGCAGCAGTTTAATGCTAATCGTGTACAGTTCATGGCCAGCTGAACAACATGATGGAGTGCTGGTGAAGTGACAGTTGAGTGTCGGCCAACACACGGTCGATAGTTGGGCGACTGTCGACCAACAGTCAGGCGATAGTCAACCAACACGTTTTGGCTGGTCAGAAGTACATGATTATATCCAGTTTAATATGATATGAGAAAGTGTTTTTACTTTGTGTAGAGGACACGGTCTMTGTAACTCAAATGCCACAACAAAATACTCCAAAGTAGTTATACAACAGAACAAAGTTAAGAAAGAATACAATAGGTTTCTATTGAATTATGTGTACTGTGTCCTCTAGTCCTTTACACGAAGACATACCCTAAAAAACTGTCGTAGTTGCAGGGATTAGCATCACTTGGATTAATTTTTTTCCACATTGCCCACAGATCCTTCATTCTTTGACGTTTTTGGTAGGAGCAGTGTTATTCAGTACTGTGACTGATCTTCCTTGGAGCCTGTATTCAACATTCGTTGTAGAAGAAAAACATGGCTTCAATAAACAGGTTAGTGCCATAAATTATTGATTTCGATATTGTGACAATTCTAAAAGAGATTCAAGTTAAGTTACTGTGTCATTTATAATCCTATCCCTTATCGATATCATTTCACAAAGAAGTGTAATAATCAAAGCAAGATGAATGATGAGCTTGCAGCGATAGAGACATGTGAATAATTGTCCAAGGTGATAAAAAAAGGTCTCTATCATTGCAAGCTCACCGTTCGTGTCTCTTCGACGCAAAGGCACAGCTACCTTTCAAGATCAGGCGCAGGGAACTGTGAAAGGGACTATTGGGCTATAGCATACTTCTTCAAATTTTATCAAAACACTGAAACAATCTTTGGGCTGATAAAAGTCAGGAGCTCCAAGTCAGGAAATTGCTAACTAACAAATCATAATGGAATTTAGCATTTTAGGTTTTTCAGTGGAAGGAAAACCAAAAAACTTAGAGGAAAACCCTCTATAACTCTTTACTCTTGAATTCAGTTCAATTTTCCTCCCTTTTTTGACAACAGACCCTCGGATTCTTCATAAAAGATACAATGAAGAAACTCGTCGTCATGACAGCAATCATGCTACCAATTTTYGCTGGTTTAATCTACATCATCAAATGGGGAGGTCAATACTTTTTTGTCTATGTATGGCTTTTTACTATTGTTGTAACTTTGGTAAGTGAAGAACAAGTTGTTTGTCTTTTGAATTTGTGAGTAGAGGAATGAAAGTACGGGKGAATGAATGAATCATGGATTGAGGGAAGGAAGGAAGGAAATGAATAAATAAGAATGTGGGCAATCAAGAGAGCAAGTAATGAATAAACGAATGAATAAATCAATGAGTTAATGAATGGATGGATGAGGCAGCGAAAAGCAAGTAATGGGTAATTGAATGAATGAGTGAATGAATAAACAAGTGCATGTACAAAGAAATAACTTGATTTTTGAATTAAGTATTTGGTGGATGGATGGATTGATGGATAAAAAGCTAAAAAGCAGGTGAACAAGTATTGGACAAATAAATGACAGTTTGAATAAATGAGAGAGCAAGAGTGCAATAGTATGTGCATAGAATATTGAATGTAGTGATAGTGCGTGTGAGCAAAAACTGTCCCGAATTAGTGCGAAAGCGCTAGAACGACTAGACACTTAAGTAAAAGCAATTTATTTACATGAGCAATTGAGTAACTCTATAAAATAATGTGTCATTGAGCAATAAAAAAATCAGTTTTGAAGAACATAATAGATATAATATGATTATACTCTTTATTCTATAATCACTAAAACCATTTCTTGATTTCAGGTGTTTGTTACAATCTATTTGGATTATATAGCTCCTCTCTTTGACAAGTTTACACCTCTACCAGAAGGACCGCTAAAATCATCTATTGAAAAGTTAGCACAGAGTATAGACTTTCCATTAGCTAAGCTGCTGGTGGTTGAGGGCTCCAAACGATCTTCACACAGCAATGCTTATTTTTATGGATTTTATAAGAGCAAAAAGATAGTATTGTTTGATACACTGTTGGCTGATAATCCAATCAAGAAAGAAGAGGAGGTGAAAAAGGATGAGGGTACAGAAGACGGCAATGAGGAGGATTCTAAAAATGAAATTCCCAACGATAGTACAACTGTAAGTAATATGATGATAATGATTTTGAAGATGATGATGATGATAATAGTGGTGATGACAAGGACGAGGGTGATGAAGATGATGGTGGTGATGATGGTGATGATAGTGATGATTATAATGATGAAGATGATAGTGATGATGGTGATGATGCTGATGAAGATGATGGTGATGATAATGGTGATGACAATGATGATGTTGGTGGTAATGATGATGGTGATGATAATGGTGATGACAATGATGATGTTGGTGGTAATGATGATGGTGATGATGATGGGGATGATACATGATGATGCTGATGATGGTAATGATGATGGTGGTGATAATGATGATAAAGATGACAGTGATAATGGGTGATGATGACAGCATATCCACTAGGTGGCTCTTCATCTAAAAATAAACTTTAATAAAATATTATGTCATAATCATATTTTGATCTAATATTATAGCCTGATACAAGCTCATCTGAAACAACTACAGCCAGCAAGCCAAAAGGCTGTTCAAATGAAGAGGTACTAGCTGTCCTAGGTCATGAACTTGGGCACTGGAAACTCAGTCATAACCTAAAAACCCTTGCCATATCTCAGGTAAATATGTATTTATAATTATTCAATATATATATATTTTTTAATAAATGATTTAATGATTATACACCTTTTGCTGTTCATTAACTGCAAAGGAATATTCATTGAAGCCAAGAAGCATTGTCATTAGAGCGAAAAGGCATACAATAAGGCGAACGGAGTCTCAATAATGCGATGGAACGTTCACTAAGGAATTTAGCATTGAATTTGAAAATCATGAATATGTTTGAGTGGGTTCATTAACGTTTTCGAACTTTCATTAGCGTTTTGGTGCAGACAATAAACCACAACACACATTCAATACAGTGTTTTGGACATTTATTTACGCAATACAATATAAGTATATTTTCCACTCCGTTCGCCTTATTGTATGCCTGTTCGCTCTAATGACAATGCTTCTTCGCTTCAATGAATATTCCTTTGCGGCTAATGAACTGCAAAAGGTGTAATATTAATTGCAAAAGAAGCATGGGCTCTGGGAACAAGAAAAGCATGAGATAAATCCTAGTCTTCACCAACATCATACTCTATACTCACACTTGATTTAATATTTGACAATGAAAACGACTTTTGTTATGAAGTGTGATTGTCTGGGTTAGTGTAACCTTGAGAAAGGATGTTGTTGGTGGTGACTGACAGTTTGTTGTGAAGTGTAATAGTCCAGGTGAGTGTAGTCTTGAGAAAGACTGTTGTTGGTGGTGACTGACGTTTCGACAACCTGAGCAGAAGTCATCTTCAGAGTCCAGTGAGAAAACAACTGAGAGACAACGACAATGGCATTGAAATTTTATTTTATTTTTTTCTCAGGTTAACACGTTATTCTGTTTTTTGATATTTGGTCTGTTGATGCACGAGAAAAACTTATTTGAGAGTTTTGGTTTCCATGAATCAAAACCGATCATCATTGGCCTCATCATTATCTTCCAGTTCATCTTTTCACCATATAATGAGGTAAATGAGGTATTTGAACCTATGTTGCTATTATAGATGTAAGAATGTAGGTGATAAGGGCCTAGAGAGTGGGGAACTTGAGGGGAAATTGGGTGGGGGTTAGAAGAGGTTCCCCTTCCATAAGCCCAACAAAGTCTTCCTGCACTTCTACACAGGTAGGTTGAAGTTGCAAATACACCTCCTTCCTTTGAAAAAGCTTGATAGGGTTCCCTGTGGTGTAAGACACCACAGGAAACCCAACACAAAAATAAAAGGATTGCGACATCAATTCAGAAATCACAGATACACACTTTAAAGAAGAAAATTTATCCCTTCTTTGTATTTATTTATTTATTATTATTAACTCCAAGTCTCTTTGTATGGTTGGGTTCCCTGTTGAATACACAGAAAAACCCAACAGACCAAATTTTTCACCTTTTGTTTAAACCTTTAAAGACAACATCACATATTTAGATCAGCCCTTGTCCAGAAGATTCTTGTCCCCTTGCATGTTTGGGTTTTCTGTGTGATACACAGGAAACCCACCAATAACCTGCATTGAAAGTATGAATGTTAAAGAGTCCATCTTTCTTTGCAGCTTGTAGGTTTCCTGATGACCATCCTGAGTCGACATTTTGAATTCCAAGCTGACGCCTTTGCCAAGCAGCTTGGATTTGCTGCGCACCTGAGGTCATCGCTCATTAAACTCAACTGCGATAACCTAGGTTTTCCAATTGCAGATAAGCTATACTCAGCCTATCATTACTCACACCCCCCTCTACTAGAAAGACTGAGAGCTTTAGGCCTTAAGGAAGACTGAAAAATCATATAGATTTTTCAGCTAGAAAGTTTACTCAGTTTATAAGCTGGGTTCCTGTACCAATGAGAGTCAAAAATTCTATAACTTCATTTTCTATATGTGAATTAAGTTAACTTATTTTATGTTTAACTAATTCATACTTTATTACTAACAGCTCCCTTTAAGGGCACTATGTGTATTATACCAGATCAGGAGCCCATTACTAGGAGCATCCATGTCCCATACTGGGTCTGTGAGCCAGCATATTCCCAGATCAGGAGCCCATTAGTAGGAGCATCCATCTCCCATACTGGGTCTGTGAGCCAGCATATTNCCAGCATATTCCCAGATCAGGAGCCCATTAGTAGGAGCATCCATCTCCCATACTGGGTCTGTGAGCCAGCATATTCCCAGATCAGGAGCCCATTACTAGGAGCATCTATCTCCCATACTGGGTCTGTGGGCCAGAATATTCTTAGACAAGATGCCAGTTTCACAGACAAAAGAATAATAAATTCAATGCTGTCCTTGAAAAATTATGTGAAAAATTGTTATGAAAAGAATTTTTAAATATACAACTCACAAATGGTTAGTTTCTTTGTTTGCCTTTTGTTGCTTTGGTATAATGTTTTCATCTTAAAGTACTAACATATCAATAAAATCATAGAGTGAAGTCATTAAACCCGTGAAATAGATATTAGACTAACACTTTAGTAGACCTTAAAGCAATTCTTTTCTTTTGTGTCTATTACATGTTGACAAATAATTTTTATTTCACGGGTTAAATGACTTCACTCTAATGATGATAATAATAATAATTTAATGCTTATTCAAATATATATTATAAAATTATTATAAAATTAAACTCGATTTTCTTTTAGATTATTTCTTTTAATATTTCAAGTTTGTTTCAAAACAGTGTTGTAACAACTCCTTAAATTTAACTATCACTCTAAACCTATAAACAAATAAAGTAACAAAAAGCAATATTATAAACAATAACTATAATTGTATTGCAGACTAATGTTTTTCTAATTACACAAATTATGAGCCCTATTTTTCCCTTTATGCTAGTCCAACCTGTTGACAGTTTAAATAACCCAGGCTTTGAATAGAGTACAAGCTATATAATTACCTCTCACAATATAGGAGCCTAACATAACATCGCATTGAAAACCAAACACAGTACCCTGGTCCCAGAGGCTCGACGATTTTTCTCCACGTATATTTTGAGGCGTGAAGCGGCTTTGCCGCTTCGCGGCTCAAACTATACRTGGCCGAGAAAAAAACGTYGGGCCTCTGGGACCAGGGTACAAACACAGTCACTTAATGCTAGATAAGACTGAAAAGGCAGATTTTCAGGGTACGATTTTTCCTCGTAACTGTTGCACCAGGGAGGTTGTCGCACACAACCTGCTCAAGCCAAGTTTTAACTACCATTTACAGTAATTCATACCATGGGTATGAATGCAGTTGTCAGGAAAAATTGTACCCTGTAAATTGGCCTTAAAATTAGATCAAAATCTTTCGCAGGCTAAATCTTTCTCAGAGAAGTATTTTTCTTTGCATAGTTTGATTTGCATTTCAGAGATTTACAACTGGATGAATAAAATATGGCAAGGTTATATTTTTCGTTTTCCTGGATATTACTTCAAGTTTCTTTGATGTCTGGTTGGGTACTGAAGAATGCCTTCCCCAACTTGGAAGTTAATCTTCTTGTTTTAAAACACAAACATTTCAATGAGGTAGTAATGTTTATTCATCATGCTTTCTCTTCGTTTTCTTGGGATGCCGAGACCTACTCTTTGCCTTACACAAAGGACAAATAGGTGCATTCCTGTGAATCTGTTGGTGGCATGATAGACATGCTTTCATAGGAGGTGGCTGCTGTTGCCGGAAATGCCGTTCACCTGACGGACCTCGTTTGTTTACCAACTGATGTGCAGCGGCTGCTGCGGCAGCTAGTTGTTGGGCAACAGGAGGTGGAGGAGGTTCTTGGGGTTCAGCTTTCCAGGTTGTTGGTATTCTTTCAACAAGCATGCTGGTGAAGAAAAAGGTTGACAAAAATAGCATGAATTCTTGATTCCTATTTCAATTTATTTTTAATCATGCCCTGAGTCAAGCTCTGGGCTGTTGTAAGTCAGAGCATGGCAATATCAATCGAATACAAAAATATATATTTTGTTAGAAACTTACTGAACTATGGATTCCTCCTCCTCTAACTGCGGCAACTGTTCCAGGCCTAGGGAAAGGCGCATCCTATTTATCTCCATTCTAAGAGGTTTATAGTCTTCATGTAGTCTGCGTATCATCTCATATCCCCTCTCTCTTTCCGATTCTGATTGTTTAATGGTGTTTTCCATCTGTTGATTGACAGCAAAAAGACAGAATCAGACTGTATTTCATTTAAGATGTATAGGGGTATTGGGAAACAATGTAGTTGGTAAATGTCCAAGAAAATAGCTATACCTCCCTCACAAAGTGGGTGGGGAGTTCCAGAAACCCCCATGTGTAGTTCCAGAAATCATCCATAACCCACCCCGCAGAGGAATTTGGAATTTCTGAAGAGTAAGGGGGGTCAGAGAAAGAACAAAAATTACAGAGTTTGTACGGAAGAAAATTGGAATTTCCGGGGGGTAGGGGGGTGTATTAAAAAAATTCCTCCGTGAGAGGGGTATGGATAATTTTTGGGACTACACATTGGACTTTTTGTAGGAAAATGCAATGCACTCCCATTAAGTTGACGATCTCTCTATCTGTGAAAGAAGTATCAAGATTTTCAGGAACGTTTTGTTGCTACAACTGTAAAATACGAACCAGATTGATATCAGCATGGATCAGACGAAGTTCTTCTACATGAGCCATTTTTTCATGTAATAAAGCTTCCATCTCAGCCTTATAGTCTTTGACTAATCTTTCCTCTCTCTCAGTAGCATTAAGCTCCTTTAGCAGTTGTGATCTCAGCTTCTCTAGGTGAGAACTTCGAGCCCTTTTAAAGGAGAGAGAAATTCATAACAAGTTAAACAAAACTGAAGAAACAACTCAATTTATTCCAGGTTGCTTTAGTGGCTAGCCACCCCCTTTTGAGTTTAGAACACTCAATTCATCCCACTTTGCTTTTAATGTAGGGACAGATATTAAGCCAGGAGGGTGGATGATAAGTAATATATACAGTATGAGTGGCCGTGTTGTATAAGATATACAAACTCAAGGCATAGCCGAGAGTTTGTATATTGGATACAACACGGACACCAATACTGTAGATTATTTATCAAACGTCTAGCTTAGTTCCTTCGTGTTTGACTAAAATTTTAAAGATAAAAGTGAATCTGGCCAAGAAAATCCATCTTAAAGTTTATGCAAATGAACAGGATTCCATATCAGATTTACAAAACTCTTCACGGTTGCGATTTCTGTTGTGTTTTCCTCATGAATTATTAAACGAGTTTAATAAGTTAATGTAAAGCAATAACAAAATTTTCAAAAAAGGTGTATATTCATGCAAAACGTTTTTGAGAACTTTTGAGGCAGAACAAAACTAAAGATCATAAAAGTGTTTACATATTTTGTAAAATTTAAAACTTTTTCTTCTTTCTTCCTTTCTTTTCTTCTTTTTACTTTTTCCCCTCTATTTCTTTTCTACTCTCTTTAACTCTCTTTGTACCAATAATTTTCAATAAACGATCTAAAACATTTTTGATAGAAAAATTAATTAATAACTATTTTTACCAAAAGATCTGCTAAGTTGATAAAATTGACAATAAATTTCCTTCCTGACAACAAAATGAATACTTTGTTAAAGCAGTCTAACTCAGAGTATGATATCATTATCATTCAATTCAGCAGAAACTAAATCTCAAAAGCTTCTTACCACTTTTATTTTAGTCATGTCAAAGTACTGCCAGTCTTGACATCAGAAGAAATTAAATCTCAAAATTTTTGACATTTTGTTATTTATTTTACAATCTGTATTGTGTTCTTTTTTTGATGAAAAATAAGGAATCAATTAACCAGCCACCAAGATAAGGTGCAGGTGAAAGGGAAATGGTGAGTTTGTTTGTTCATCATATTACCACTATGTTATGAAATTTTCTTGACAAGTAAAATRATATTGTTGATTAACCATATTGAATCAAGGCAGTTGGCTTTTATCTTGCTCTCCAAACATTATTTGATTTTATGCTATTTTATTCTAGTTTTTGAGACAGGTTTTCTTATAAAAATGTCATGTCAGTGAAATGGGGAAAAATGGCTCTTTATTCCTACTATTGGAAGCCATGAGATGTTTAAAAAGATGGAAAGAAAGAAAAAATAAAAGAAAGTAAGAGCTACACTGAGACAAAGAGGTTTTGTTTTAAAACTTCAACATAATTTACATATTTACACACCTTTCCAACCTTTTATTGTTCTTTGTCCAGATCAAATTTAGGGTTTAAAAGGCAATTGGCAATTTTTAATTTGTTAAAAGGTTAACAATTCAACTAATATTTAAATATTCATGCGAATTAGCATCATCTCTCCAGCTTATTAAGCTTGGTGTTTGATGTGAATGAAAGAAAAATATCAGAATTCTGAGCAAATAAAAAGGGAAAATTAAGTCTTTTAAGAATTTTAAATTGAGGACAACTTTAAGAATTAAAATCTCTACATTTCCAAAACTGCTATAAATCTTTGAAATTCAGTACGTTTAAGTTAGAGAAGGATAAGTTTAAGTTTGGAGGCTTTTTTGTGTTTCCACTTTAGTCTAAATTTAGAAATAAAGGACAGGTGCACAGCAAATTTTAACACAATTGAATAAAATAAAATAAAAATTTAGCCCTTTTAATAATCCCAGAAAAGATCTAACGATTTGAGCCATATGACTTTGAAAAAGGAAGTTTTTGGTGTTTATTTTAAACCCGAATTTAAATTAAATTTATGAGAATGTTCTTTACAAAGCGCCTAACATCTGCTTCAGAATAGATAAACACACAAAAACTCTTCTGAAGACGATACGGCGAAATTTAATGCCGTAGAATAGAATTACTAAAAGGAGGAAGACAATCTCTGGATAAGATGAAGAGGTTTTTCGATAAATATGAGGGATGTTATCTAGAAAAGGTACTTAATAATAGATTTGATGAAGAATATTGAGAATAATAATGTCTTTGTTTAGGAAGCATCGAAAAGACAAGCGTGTTTAACGTTTCAGGAAAATTAGCCTAATCAAAGAAATATAACCCTAAATGTAAGTACTTATGAAATTCAATTCTGTATTTTCCTCCCTCGATTGAAAATAAAAGAGAAATCTTTCTGGGAATATTTTTCAGTGTCTTTATGGAGAAGCCCTCTTTCATTCAAAGGCAAGGAATAAAGGTCTTGAAAAATCAGTCAGGAAGCGTTGGCCATGACACCAGGTGAGGTTGAGTTAAGCTGTAGTTAGTTAACTTGAGATATGTTACCTTATATCTTGGATAGTTTCTAGTTTCCTCATATAAATCTCATCGTCTGCTTCCATAGTTGGGCTTGCTGCCATTTTGCCTCAAAGAACAAGACTGAAACAATCTACAACCTTCGAACACCCGGGGTTTTATCATAAATTCTGATTGGCTTGAAGACACAATGCTATTGTCTTTAAGCCAATCAAAAGCCTGCTTATTTATAAGGACACCTTTAGACGCCTTGAACGCTACTTCCGGTGTGTTTTTGGGTTTGATGCCTCCGTTTCATTATTAATTAAATTACACAAAATAAATAAAAACAACACAAAAAGATGCACACACACAAAAGCTTCTTATTTTTTTTGTTTCACACAGTGTTTGATGCACAGCTAGCTATTATGAAAAAAAAAATCTTCACCCATATTTTAAGCGAGTCCACGTTGTATTTGATTAAAAAAGTCATCCATAAAGGATGCTTTGGCGCAGAAAGCCAGCATAGAAGAGCAGAATAATCGAGGAGATTATATCAAAAGACACACATGTGGGCATAATATTCACCGGCATAGCAGGTGCCAAAAAATAAGGAAATTTAAAAAGAAATAGCATCGACTGAACCTTTCAATTCGCATCAATTTAAGCGTTTGAAAGAAAAAATGAGATGAAAAAAATCATAATAAGAGAGGAGATGAAAAAATATACATTAATAAGGTACGAAAAATTTTAGGGACGCCCGATAAGGGACTCGAACCCTTGACCCTCAGATTAAAAGTCTGATGCTCTACCAGCTGAGCTAACCGGGCTCCTCATGAAAAGCTAAGACTTAAATTTCCTTAATAAATGTTGTATTGTCATTTCTGTAACCGCAAAACGTGTGGTTAAGTATAAAAAGACGGTCAACAACGCTTAATAAGATTCAAATTGCAACTTTCTTTTCCGGGCACGATGTATAAATGTGTATAGGTGAACTACAGGAAATCCAAGTAAGTAATAGAAAAATATTTAAGAAGAACAAAAGCATATTCTTGTAGTTTATTTTTTTGCCAAAAGAAGACCACTGTAAAATACACAAGTAAACCTTAAAATAAACTAACACATGGTCTAATTATTTAATGATAAAGCTTTTATTTTTCTTTAACTAACTGCTTCCTGTGGACAGGAAAGTTAGCCGGTTGGGTTCCCTGTGTCCAGTCAGTATAAAATATTAATTCTATTGTAATTTTGAAGTATTCATAAAGTATTTATTAGCTTAAGATATTTACTAAATATTTTTATAGTTTGAAAAAGATTGAAATTAAAGAAAAGCACGAAAATAATTTGAGAATTGGAGCAGGAAAATTAAACTGCTGTACGTATTGCATGCCGGGAAAGAACGGCTTCCCGCGCTTTGCTCAAAATAAATCATATGACAACTTATTCCTCCCTTTTGAAGTCATATATCACGTGGTAGGACCTTCATGACAATTTTGACGTTCAGCATACGCTCGTTCAACACCAAAAATTAACTAAAATGTAACCATATTAAATATATTGGGGTCCATGAATGAATTAATATATACGAGAATGATTAAGACCCATTCTTTTTCCCGTTTTCATTTTATACTTCAACCTTCATTCTCTCCGCTCATTTTAAGCGACTTGTTATTATATTACCTATAAAGCATAATTAATGAGTTCATATTCGACAAACCAAGTCAAAATAGGCACTCTTTCTCGAGATTGAAAGTGTGATCGGGCTAGCTCCATTAAATATTTATGCTAGTCGATTCGAGTTACAGAAGATCACATGTTCAATGCAAGAAGGCTAGCAGCTTCAACTTTTAAGAGCGGATATAAGTATATATATATTCCATAAAAAGCACTAACTCTTGACAACCACAAGGTAGGGCCGTGCTGTCTCTCAATTCTTAGCGAATAGTCTCCCTTTCCAACATTATTTTCGCTCTCATTTTTAGAATTTATTTATATTTATATTTCTAGTTCAAAATATCAGACTTGTGTATTTTTCCAGTGGAAAAGAAACAAGAATCCTTTGGAAAGACTTGATCTTTAGACCAACTGGAGATGTCAGCATTTCAGGTAAAAATCTATAGACTATTTTGAAGGAAAATGGTTTCACTTAGAAGCGAGTGGACCGACATAATATTTAGTTTTAGCTCAATTCACATTAAAATAGTCAGTCGCATTAAAATATTTTTCGAATTCGCTTTGGAGTTGCGAAGAAACTCGAAAATGCGTATGTCGTAATTTTATTTTTGGTGCTAAATTTTCTTTTTTAAATCAAGAAGGATGAAGAAGGCTGGATAACGAGGTCAAAAACAATTTCTCGAGCTTTTATTCGTATTCAAATTTCTCTTTTATTTATGAAATAATAATTATGGCAGGTTATGGAAGATGTTTACCATGATTCTGGGAAGATTAAGGGGAAATTCTTCCATTTTTGCATTTGAGTGCATGAACGGATCAATGCTTCAAATGTGGGGAATTTCATCTTCAAGCATAAAAATTAAGACGAAATTTTCGTTGCTTAGTGAGGTTTTCCGCTCTGAATTATTAGTAGAATGAATAGTTCAGTATTCATTGAGATGAGAAGCACACATGAAACCACATTGATAATAAAGAAGAGACGTCGAGAATAAATTAACTAGATAAAAATATTTGATAAAGTGGTCAAGCTTTTTTGCCCTTGAAATATTTACACAAAAAACTCTCTCCGATTTTGAGAAACGCTGGGTCATCAGTCATATTTACTGTCGTGCTATTCTCGTAAAATAAATTTATTATTGTTGTTATTATTAATTACTTTTATTTGTTCTCCACAAAACGTTTTATGAATTTAAATTTCGTGGATTCAAATGTGATTATTACATCCAGCTCTTGTCGTGGTTTAAATTGGTATTGCCGATGGCAAAATTCTCCGAAAGGTTAGGAACAATTTCACTGATGGAACTCTCATTATCAAGTGATAATAAAAAGCCATAAATCGACAATCTACGATTTAAGCTATGCTTGACTACAGTTACCATGTGCATATTTTCAATATTTTTCTTTCTTTCTTTCCCTTTAATTCCATTCCATTCCCTTTTCCTTTCCTTTCATTCCTATTTCTTATGTGGCGGTTTCTTTCTTTTCTTTCGTTTCTGTTTTCTTTGCTAATTTACAAGTTTCATTAACATATTTTCTTTCGGTCGTTCTTGCTTTTGAATAGCATATGTTTTAAGCCTGACAACGGAAGCTTTACAGGTTTTTTCTGTGGGTTTCCAAAACAAACACAAAACACCGCATGTGAAAGCAATTTCTTTTTCTTCTACCGGTTCTAAAATTAATACTATAATAATTGTGGTTGTCAGTTGTAATTTAATAACGACTTCCATTATTCTTCCGGTTTAACTGGGTGTGAAAAGCTTTAAACATTTCCCCCCATCGCTTTGCTCTTTCTCAGAGCATGATACTTTATTGCGTCTTACATGTTATTGGGTTCCCTGTGGTTTGCTCTTATTTTTTATTCACTTGTATGGTAGGCATCATATCGGCCATGTTTGGAATTCCAAATCACCGTTCTTCGAGGAAGAGACATAAGTAAAGGAAAAGTTGCTGATTACAGTAAGTATCAAATGGCTTTAATTCGCTAACGAATGAAAAGAACCCATTTAAGTGTTTTACGTAGCTCCTGTAAAAAGCCAATGTAAAGTGTCGGGAACGTAACGATGTTCACAAAGTCCAATGAATTGCCTTCCTCTAGAGAGCACCCGGAAAATGCAAATCTGCTGTCTTGCGCACGCGCGTAAGTGTTACGGATAGAAAAACCATTCAAGTGTTGCGCACGACGATCAAGAAAGCCAATCAAATGTCATGCGTGCGCAAGATGATGCCTATCACTTGTCTTGCGTCGTTTGACCGCCGGAGAAAAGCCCATAAAGTGCATTTTTGCGCAATACTTTAATAACCCAACAAAGTGCCGTTCCTTGCGCGCGACAACGGAAACCCAATCCACTGCTTTTAGTCATTTTATCGCTTCTGTTTGTAGTTGATACGCCAGATCCGTATGTCAGAATAAGGATTCCCACAGCACCCAGCGGCAAAGCAGCAACAAAAGTTGTGTGCAACAACAAAAATCCGGAATGGCACGAAACATTCAAGTTTCTTTTAGACCCCAACAAAGAAAATACGATGGGTAAGAAAATGAAAATTGAAAATTATTTATAAAATCATTATTTTTACAATTAATTATAAGTGCATGCTTTATAACATTATAGCTTTTATGGCCAATTTCACTGTATTTTGTTTCGTCAAAAAATGTACTTCTAACACATTTGTGCAATTTTATAAATGCGGAGAATGAATAATTTCCGGAGAAAGAGAGCAGAATATTGTACTGATTTGATTAAGTGACAAAAGTTAAATTACTTYAATGTTGACCTAATTTGAGTTGATAACGTATTACTATTTACTTCTCATCCATTACTTTAAGTGACATGTCTTCGTTTTAGAAGTTTTATCTCAAAGAGCCCGTAAGGGAAATATCTTAAGTGATATATTCATCTAGCCGTTGATAAAGTAAACAGAAATGAGAGTCATTGTGGTGATATAATCTGTAGACTTCCATTTTGCCCTGCTGGGTCTTGTAGCAACGTGAAAGGTTACTGATTACTAAACAACTTGAAGAACGAAGGGCACCTCTTGGTAATCCACAGGAAGTCCGCTTTGAAAAACGTCATCCTCAAAGTAAAGAAATGCATTATAGCGTCATTTTCTACTACTACCAGAGTCCCTTGCACACCTCTTTTGCTCATTTAATTAGCACGGATTGTCTTACTTTTCTCATTAGAAAATAAAAATTTAAATAAGAAAGAAAATTCGCGCGCGAAGCATTTTGGTAGTGATAGTAAAATGAAGCCATCATACAAACGGCCTAATGTGCTGACAAAGAGAAACGTGGGCTCACTTTTTTAGGTAAGACCGTAGACAAAAGAGGGAACCCAAGCTTTGAACGAAAGGGATCAAGTTAAGGTTACTGACATATTCTATTGTATTTTGTTTAGAAATCACGTTGATGGAGTCTGATATAGTGAGTGATGATGTTCTCGACACTCACACATTCAGGATTAATGACTTGGAGGTCGATACCACCTGTAAACAAACCTTTAAATTTGGAGAGGTAAGATGGGCTGGATTACGTGACTTCCCTGCATGACTACCCAGCGTTATTGGTGATAGCACTACACGTCATTCACTATCACGGGATCACGTGTTCGTGGTTATTTTAGATTTGAAGAAAAAGAGTCATTCTCAATCCCAGATTCTCTCCGGTTGTCGTTCCTCCCCGGGCTCCCTGTCAGAGGGGAGTAACGACAACCGAGGAGGATCTGGGAACGAGAATGGAAAAAGAATAGGAAAAAGCGAGAGAGGGAGCTAGAGGAAGAGAGACGGTAGACGGTAGACGGTAAGACTTTTCTCACGTGACTGCCGAATTTTTATTTCAGACTTCCAAGGTTGATGTTGAGATGAAGTTGACTCGTTGGTAAGTATTGATGAGTGTAAATCGTTCTCAGACCCCACGTTGCTAGCCATGGTAGAGAGTTTAAAAGGAACCTGGGCTCTAGGAAAGAGAAATGTGACTATCCCTTCAATTTCAATTTGGGGACTTTCTTTACTCAAACAATTGTTTTAAGTTTCACCACATTTTTTTACCACGGTTTTATTCATTTAGACAAATACATAAGCAGTTTATAACGTATTTTCTAGCCCGTTTTCAGATGAACTTCGCTTTAGTGGTGAGCTGTGCAGCGAGGAAAAACAATTCCTCGCTAAAAGGCGCCAGATTGTCTTTGAAGCCATGCAAGAAATACTCGGGGAACAAGGACCGTCAAATATCAATGAGGTAATGAAGAAAATCTGTTTTGTTAATCAACCGCTGTTTAACATGACGCTTTGTTTATCGCCGCCAAATTTGGATGCATTGCGCATGCGCATTAGTTGTTTTCGAAAATTATCTTATGAAATTCCTTAATAGCAAACGTATTTCCTTTCTTTCACAACAACAACAACAAAGCAAAGGAAGGAAGAAAGAAAGAAAAATTAAATCAAGCTACAGAGGTTTTTTGTAAATTGGGGGAAAAAATCAAAATGTCATATTTTCAAAATAATGCAATTGCAAGGAATTGTACATTTTGAAGTCTTGTGCCATGCGCATGCGTGTAGTAGCTATCTATATCCTGTTCATTTTCAAATACATGAATATTCAAAGGACATCCCACATGTCAAAGAGTGTCTAGACGGTAGACTTCGACTTCCGAATCCACTTTTCATTACTCTGGTTTCCCTTCAAATCGAATAAATCTTTCGCCTTTTACTAAAGATTTTCGTGGAGGGGAACAACTCAATGAGTCTATAGGAAATTTTTTTGTCGCCCTGCCTTATCGGCGGGGCAAATTTCAACAAAAATATTTCGAAATCTTAATATTGACTTCTTCTATTTTATTATGACTTTGATGCAATTACTACTGAATGTTTGCTCCCCTCAGGTTCCTACCGTAGCAATACTCGGATCCGGGGGAGGCTTTCGCGCCATGACATCATTAAGTGGTGTAATGTGTGCGTTAAAAGACACCAGGATACTTGATTGTGCGACGTATATTGCTGGTCTTTCAGGCTCCGCCTGGTAAGTACTTTTCTTTGCTATATACGTAGTTTTACGTTTTGCATTGTGACGTATACTGACTGTCGGCGCATGCGCAGTAAGGTTTGTATTGTTTACAGTCTTTCGCGTCTCTCAGCGTCACCACTTTTAAGGTGGCACTTGGAAGTATTTTTCTTACTTAACTTCTAAATTTAAGTTTTAAAATAAATAGTCCTGCCTTAGCAGAATCGATAAGATTTTAATTTCCTACAGATGTCAGACTACGATAAAAACCTGCATTGATATACATAACGTTTGAATCGGAGTTACCATAGTAACGATAAAAATCCTCATCTCAAAGTTTCTTAAAAGAAAAGAAAACTTCACCTCACCATTTTCATTTTTGTTCTTTGTTTGCGTGTAACAATGTGTCGACCACGGCTAGTTTTTCAAAACGCATCCCACATGGAAAGGAGGGACTATGGATCATAAATCATCAGCGAAAAAGTTCCTTATTTTGGGTATGCTGGTCATAGCAAGGGGTTAATCATCTACGGACTAGGGGTCGACTAACCTCTCCCTTAGGCTTCGGCCGAGCTTCCTGATCAGTCTGTAAATCCAGGGATAGCGGTGTCGGGGTCGAAATCTCCGGCGTAGCCGTAAATGCTTCGCGCTGCCATACGACGGTTCAGCACTCGATGTCTGGAAGTATGGTCCTAAATTCTTCAGTCAATAAAAAAAAAAATTTCCGAAAATCAATCTTCCTCAGCAGATGGACTTCGGATGGATGCGCCATTATGGAAGGTAGCCGTGCCTTTGCATCGGAGCGAGAGGAATTAACGGTGAGCTTGCATTGATAGAGACTTTTTTTAACACCTTGAACAATTATTCACGCGTCTCTATCATTGCAAGGTCACCGTTCGTCTCGCTTCGGTACAAAGACACAACTACCTTTTAAGATGGCGCAGGGAACTGTGAAGGGGACTATTAAAATAAAAAGAGTACTGAAACGTACACATCGTTCTACAGGTACATATCTTGTCTCTATTCTCATCCCGACTGGCCATCGGTTCATCCTCGCGTTGTGCTCGAAGAACTACGAGAAAATGTCAAAGAAAACTTGATCTGGCTTCTTCTCCAACCCAAATGGGTCTACAAACACATGCAGCTTATCAGTAAGAAGAAGAAAAATGGACAGCCCGTCAGCTTCACGGATATTTTTGGGTATCTCGTTGGGGATACCATACGTAAAGGGGTAAAAATGTTTAATATTTTGATTAGCCATTTTAAGGTCGAGGAAAAAACTGGGTCGAGTTGGTATTGTGGGACTTTTCAGGGGACGAAATAGACGCCATCTTTGGAATATATCTTCTAGAACAGCCCATAGTTTATTCAATGCCAACTGGATCCAGTTCTTTCCTCCACCTCGGAATGGCTAATAGAGGTGAGCACAATCAGTAAATGCTATATTTTCCAATAGTCCCCTTCACAGTTCCCTGTGCCATCTTGGAAGGTAGCCGTGCTGTTCCTTTGGAGCTTGCAATATGATAGAGAAATGTGAATCATTTTTCAAGGTGTTAAAGATTCGAATGCCTCTATCAATACAAGCTCACTGTTCGTCTCGCTTCGATGCAAAGGCACGTTTACCTTTCAAGATGGCGCAGGTAACTGTGAAGGGGACTATTTGGCCCACTATCTCTCACACACGCTACTCCACTACATTCAATATTCTCTGCATATACACCTCASATGTTAATCTTTGTTGAGGGAAGAAAATTGGGAAACCCGGAGAAAACAAACCCTCGTAGCAAATGGGGAAAGAATACATAAAAAAACGCTATTCGCATATAACATCCCCAGGAATCGAATCCACGTACACTACGCTACCCTTTTCACCGTAAAACATGATCTCTCTTCTTCTTAACAGCGTGAACCACCCAAGCTGAGTCATCAAAAAGAAAAAGTTGAAGATGGTTTTGTTCCTTTACCGCTCTACACCTGTGTCAATGTCAAGAAAGATGTCTCGGCCCATGCCTTCTGTGGTAAGTTGAACCGCGCGCGCACTGGGCTCAAACAGTCCAAATAAGGATTCTGTGAAATGAGAACGCTCGCACAAATTTTGCTTATTTGATCGAATCTTAATTTCCTTTGATTTGACTTGTCTTTTTTCTAGAGTGGTTGGAGTTTTCACCCTACGAAGCTGGTTTCCCTAAATATGGAACTTTCATGAGCACGGAATTGTTCGGGAGTAAATTCTACTGCGGGCGAGTTTTGAAGAAGTTTGAAGAACCAGATCTGCGTTATTTGCAAGGTCGTTAAATCCCCTGTACTTTATCTCACCCTTATTCTTCCCCTTCTTCTTTTCTCTCTTTCTCACTCCCATCTTTCATACATCCTTCCATCCTTTATTTCGTTCGCTCGTTCGTTCCGGCGTCAGTTAGATCGTTCCTTCCTTCCTTCCTTCCTT